TGGTACTTGCAAAGCAGGGTGAACACAATCTCCACGCTGCTCATCTTTCTTGAGGCAACAACATCCCTTCGGATTTGTTCCGGCACAGCTGCCAACAACATAGTGACAGCCCTTTGTTCCGTTCGAGGGAGCTTCTCGGCCTCAGGGTGCGTCTCCACCTTGAGTCTGAGATGCTCCAACGGACTCGCCACACGCCAGAGCTCGTAGTAGCGCTGTGCTATCGTCAGCGAACACCACGAAGCCGAAGTGCTGTTGAGGTCGGACATCAGTGGCGTTATCACCGCAATCCAATCCCCAAACTCCACCGCAGTGCAATCCGTCAGTTTGGAAGCTCCAATGTCCTCAGGTTTTCAGTCGAGGCTTCCTCAGAAACCACCATAGGTTGAGAAACTCCAGGAGTCCCAGACATCACCATCATTGGCATCGGCTGTTGAACCCCTTGAAGTTGTACCATGGGCGAAACGTAGGAAGGCTGCACAGGCAGACCAGGTGGTGTTTCCAAGCCGCTCACACGTTGGCTTGGCCCATTCCCATCTGCAGTTCTGTATGAACCCCCACTTCCATTCCCAGACACAGCGGCTCCCTTTCTTCGGCCATTTCATTTTTCAGCTTGTCCTGAACTTCACTCATCGCCTCGATCTCCAGAAGATCCTGATGAGAAAGTCCATCATGAGCCACCAGACGCTGCTCTGCATGTGTCGGCGTCCCCTGACCTCCACCATGTTGAGAACCAGAGCCACGGGCCTCACGGTGTGCACCATCGCTCCAAAAAGGGTTGACCTCCACAGGCTGAGCTGGCACCTCTGGTGTCCTCATCCCATGTTGATCCCGACCACCACCATGCAGTCGTAGGCGCTCAGCTGGCTGAACTTCGGCACAGCAGGACCTTGAAGAGCTCGGCCATCACGTTGACCTCGTCCCCAATGTCGCTCCGGCCCACCACCATCGCGTCGTCCAGAGGCTGAAGAGCTCGAGGAGAACCATTGGGTAGAGGTAGAAGATCACAAGGCCGTAGAGCAAGAGTAGCATCACGAGGAGGTCCAGCAGGTAGTGAGCGGCCCCAAGAGTCGACCACCACCAGCTTGATCTCTTTGATCTACTTCAGGTCCTTGTCCCGGATCGTCACCCCGTACACCAGCACCTTGAAGCCCATCCCCTCCCTGGAGACCTTGAACATTCCACCATGATGTCCCTGGTCATCACCTCCTTGGTGTCCAGCTTGACGATGCCTGGCCTTTGTCCAGCTCCTCCCACCGGCACCAAAGTTTGCACCTCAGGCGCATTCGCAAGCAGTGCCAAGGGCGCGACAGCCTGGCCAGTCCTCATAGCCTCAGCGGCATTGACCAACCACCTCCGCTGCTCCGGCGAAAGCCCCATTGCAGTGCCAGACCCGGCAGCCTCAGTGGCCCCGACTGACTTCACCCCAGCACCAGATGCTGCAGGGGGATCATCCTTGTTGAGGTTCTCCAGCAGTTTCATCCAGCATTTGGTCGGCTGTCTTGTCAGCCACAGCCACAGCCGCAGAAGCCCCTGTTGCAGTTGCACCACCAGGCACCAGCATTGATTGCGAGGACCCACCACCACCTGCCACCTGCAGTGATTGCGAGCTCCCACCATCACCTGCCACCTGCGCTGATTGCATCACCACATGCTACCCAGCAGCAGCTTCTTCTCGTCGTCGGCGCAGGTCCATTGCGTCAGCACCAGTGAACCCTTGGGCTCATAACCTGCGTTGGGACACAGGGACACAGGCCGATACCTTTCGGGTAACCTACCGGACCCTTGGATCTACCTTAGCGCCACAGGTCACCCGTGTAGCAGCTTGATTTTCTTGAGCGCACGTTGTCGGTAGAGCGCACAAATTTTTGTGCATGTTGTGAAGTGCTGGGGCATGCCATTGCATGTGATGTGCTATCTGCACAACCGCATATAACAATAAGATATAGAGTGACCTAGATTCCTCCCTCCCCAAGACTACGCATGGTTTTGGTATAGAGCACACGTGGATTTGCCACTGCAAGAGACGACAGGTCTTTCTGCAAAGGAGCCAGTCTCAGGGTGGATTTTGTGTAGTTTCTTGCACCTGCGCAACCTTATCGATGGCTCCAGGTTCCAAATGGCATTTGACTTGGGAGTTTCAGCCTGAAAAATCGATCCCTTTGAATCAGTTTCAGCCGAGGAAACGCTTTGATGCATTGTTCTGAGCAGCTGAATTTTGAAATATTCTGCACTTCTGTGAGCTGCAAGTTGCCGTTTCTCATACTTTCGAAATCGTATTGATTGATGGATCAACTGTTCATTGAACATGGCATCAAAGTGATGGAGGGATTAACGGTAGGTGATTCTTCAAATGTTGTTGCTTTTCATCATTGTCATCCAATTTTCATTCCGTCTCTCTGCGGCCTCCGCAACTCGGAGATGGCCAAACGTCAGCATCTTAGCCAAAAAAAGGACCTAAGAGGATACCAAGCAGACTAATTAGTTTCAAGTTTTCTGATCCTTTGAAACAGTTTTCAGCTCGTTTCTCACCGAAATCTATGCCTAGTTTCCCGAACTGAGGCATTGATTCTGAAAGATGTGGGCCACTGACGGGGTGAA